CCTGTGTTAAGGAAATGCAAGCCTAATACATTTATTTAAAAAATACACAAATTACCAAAAACAGTTGTTTTTAAAAATAAATATATCCACTTCAACAAAGACGTCACTGTGCTTTGAAACACATGAGCAAGTCACAAGCTCTGTCAGAAGCCCATTTCCCACTTGCTACTATCTCATCAAGAGACTGACTGTAACAGATGTTTATGCCCCAGAAGCATTTAAGACCCCGATAATGTTCAAAGCTGATATTATGTATAGATTCCTGGCAAGAGCTGGTCATGAAACCTATACTGAATACAAACAAGGGTGGAAATTATTTTGATTTTTAAAAAGTCCTCTGACTGAGCAGGGTGAAGTCACAGTTCAAGTCTCGTAAACTGAACGTGCACTTCAGCCATATGCAATTCCCTGCTGCCTATGTATATATTTAATTCTTAAGTAATTATATTAAAACACAGAGTAAATCAAACGCACAAGGCATCAAGACAGAGTGAGCAAACCATCATTCAATTCATTCACAGAGATGGAAACACCAGCATCATCTGTGCGCTCTGCTACTTATGGGAGAAGATCTATTGGGTTTTTACCAAAGAAGGCAAAACATAGGAGTGCATTCAGTAGTTGGAAAGGACAGGATGCCTCGGCTTATATGCACGATTTCTCTGAGTGCCCAAGCAGCAACGCTTCAAGCCTAATCTTAATGGCTGGACTAGTTACTTGCAGAAAGGACAGGGAATCTGGTGATAAGTCGAGCTCAGACACAGGATGAACGACACTCCAGAACTTTGAGATACCAACACGGAAGGATGCAATCTATGGAGGGGCTTAGGGCTGTTAGATTTGAGTCACATTCCCAGCTTTCCCCATTCCTGCAGTTTTAGAATGGAAATCTGGTGAGGCTGGCATGTCTACTTAACAGACCAAAAGAGCCAAAACTAAAAAGCAGTGTGCCATGCAAACCACGCCAACAAGTAAGACTGGAATAAAGAAGCTTCTCACCATTGTCCCTTTGGCATTTGAAACCTTCAGTTAGTCTCTGTGCATGTTTCAGACAAGCCTTAAAGGAGGACTTTTTATAATGGGAAGAATTGAAGAAAAGCAAAAAATCCCCCAAAAAACAAAAACAAAAAACACACTTACAGCCAAAGCAAATCCCTCAGTCCAGTTCCCAATGTGCAGGGAAGGGAGAGACAGAGTGAGAAGACAACATAATGGTGCTTAGGCCTTCACAGGCTTTTGTCATATTAATAAACGGTCACAAATTATAAACTCCACCCTGCAGTCTATAGCACCTTTCGTCTGGGGATCTCAAAACATTGCTTTTAACCTCCCAGCCCCCCAAGAGGTTTCCTATTATACAAAGAAGGAAACTGAGGCATAGAAATTAAGGGCCTGAATTTCAGGGATGTGGTTCATCCCCTGTTCCAAGTGAAGCTCAGTTTTCCCACCATCACCTAGTCAGGGGCATGATCTCATTTTGAAAATCAGGCTAGAGAAGTCCCAACTCCAAGTCCTTTGTTCTGTCCATTCTACCACTGCAGGATGGAACAACTGACGAACAAAACATACTATAGCAAGAGTAAAGGGTTTTGTTTTTCTAACTAGAACTGCCACTGTGAATTTAAAAAGCAGTAAGGACAATGAGAAAAAAAAACTGTCAGTGGTAAAATAGATTTGTTGTTCAATATAATATTAGAGTGTTTCAGTAATAGTAGCTACAATGAATGGATAAGTGAATAATGATGCTTAACAACATGTTTCGGTCAACTGTAAAATGCAGTTTATAATTTAGCATTATTTGACATAATATAATAGGTACTATAGCATAAATAATCTCAGTCATAGTTGAATATCTGGTGAACGAACCACTTTGGCCAAATCTGAAATACTTTATTTGATGCCCGCTCAATGTGTCAGAGGCACCTTTTTAGAAAAAACAAATATCAACTAATCAGTAAAGAAAGGGATATGTAGATTTTATGTGAATTTCAGTTTTGGTGCATGCTAGTTTGAAATATGACCCCAAATTATCTTGAATCTTTAATGCCTTTTTTAAAACCTCCACAAATGTTACGTGCATCATTTCTATCGAGTTTCAGTTAAGACTGCCCTTAAAACAACCAAATCCTCTTTTGCAATTGTGCCCACTGACAGTGACAAAACTCAGAAGTTCTCCCAAATCTGAAGTGTCAGTTGAACACAGTGACTTGGCAAAGGTCAGGTTTTAGGTACTGTATGTCAGGGTGGGTTATAATACACAACTGCAAATAGCCCCACAGCACCCAGGAAACATGCAAGCTTTATGTTAATGTTCTTAGAACACTTAACTGGCAATTACATCACATGCAGTACCACCAAGCCCAGTGCTTTGTAAATGTAAGGTAAAGGGCCTTTTGTATAAGGGCACACACAGATAAATCGGCTCTGGCTTGCAAGCACAGCCTGTTGAGCTGTAAATCTAGGTAGGCTGACGGAGCCAAAAGTTCCATCACCTGTAATACAGGAGGACACCTTAAATCTCTTGTCTAAATGGAATAGTTTAGTGGGGGGAGGAAAGGGACCCAAAGTTTAGAAAAGATTTCCAAACTCTTAGAAAGAGATTGAGGACACTGCTGTCCCTTGGCTGATAAGGTGGAAGCTGGCCTCTCTTCTGGTTAGGTGCTGTGCTTTCTAAAAAATCTTTGATAGCACTGGAATGTAACGTAAGAGGCTATAAGTGGCCGCCATAGGAGATAATATAAACTACAGCCTCAGACACAGAGGCTGGGGAAGGGGAACTGGGACAGGCTTGGAGGATGAGTCATAGCATTTCACTGGACTACTCCAACTGGGTGTCTGAAATATGACCAGAGGAAGCCCGATTCAATTGACTTTGTCTCTTCAGTCCCCATCATACATTGCTCCAAAGCAGCATCCCAATTCACTCCCGTGTAGCATATCTGAGCGCACTTCAAATAAACATTTTGTTTTCCTGGCTTAGTGGATGCAAGAAAAACCTGCTGTAAGATGTGGGGCAAAAGGAGAATGGTTTAATTTAACCAGTAAGAAAGGAAATATTAATTTAAATTATTAAATAGACTAAGTGCTTTAACTGTCTCATGTTGGTTTGCCACACTTCATTTAAATAAAGTAAAATATTAATTTATGTCCAACACTGTCATAATCAGGAGTGCTGACCAGCACCTGGGGACTAAAGGGTTAGCTATGTCTCCTGTCCCTAGCCAGGAGCCAACAGCAATGCAGATTTCAAACTGGGACAAAGGAATTTTTATCTTTTCCCTCCGTTGTCTGAGTCAGAGCGTTTTCTTCCAAGACTGAAGGAGATGGGAGGCCCGTGTCTCTCTCTGAGAAAAGACTTCTTACAATGTGTAAGTAGGGCAAAGTTTAGACAGTCCATCAGGTTTTATTGTTTTCCTGATTTGGGAATTTAGAACTGATATCTGAGCTTAAGTGTGTGGGTTTTTTTTCCCTCTTTTGTAACTAAAATCTTGAACCCAGGGAATTCCCCTGAGTACATCGATTGATGGCCCTTTCCATCTAGCCACTTTATTAAGCTTGCAAGTGTAGTTTTGTTTTGATATTAAAGTTTGTTTTCTTTTTCTAATTAACTGGTATTGGTTGATTGTTGTGTCCTGTAACTCAGTGCCTAGTTATAAGGGCAGCGTCCATTACAGTCTGTGAATCCCCTGTCTGTGTTGGATTTTTCCCAACTCCAAGTAAAATGGAGGTTGGGGCAGGGGGAGAGTTTTACCTTAAGAAGGAGGTTTCCCAAGTGATCTCTTCCCTGGTTTTTGTGGAAATTACTTGGGTGGCAGCAGTGGATTTCTCCAAAGTTCGGGTATTAGGATTTTGGTGGGAGATTTTTGTACCAAAGCCCATAGAGACCAGGTTTTGGGGTGTTTTTTCAGGCCCCCACTTCTGCATTTGTCATGCCAGAGTGGGGAACAGCCTTGACAAACACAAAAGATTCCTATGTTTTCTTTATTTATGGCAAGGGGGGGGGGGAAGACTTTTTTGGGTCGGGGCCACTGTAAGGATGTTAAATTGCAATTAATTGACTAACTGAATAGTTGATGCATTTTGCATCGACTATTCGACCAGTCGATAGAGCGCCTCTACTTTTGAAGTGTAGAAACAGCCCTACTGCTGTTTCTACACTTTAAAGGCAAAAGCGCCACATCGAGCCGGGGGTCAGCTGAGGACTCCCCTGCTGATCCTGGGCTCCATGTGGCACTGCCACTTTGAAATGCCATGGGGAGCCCAGCTTCAGACTCCTCCTGGCATTTCAAAGTGGCAGCGTCGTAAGTGACAGCGCCGCATGGAGCCTGGGGTCAGCAGGGGAGTCCTGGGCTCCAGGCAGTGCTGCTGCTTTGAAATGCCGCATGCAGCCTGGGGCCAGATGGGATGACCCCAAGCTGCACGTAGCGTTTCAAAGCAGCAGCACTGCCTGGAGCCCTGGGTCAGCAGAGAAGTCCCCAGCTGATCCCAGGCTCCACATGACGCTGGCCCCAGGCTGCATGTGGTGTTTCAAAGCGGGAAGGGGGAGGATGATGCGGCTGGAGTGCCAGCACAGGAGAAGGGTGGGTCTCGAGAAATTTTAGGGTAGGGATCTTTCCCCAGTCTTATGCAGGTTAGCCTACATAATCATAATGGTTACTTCTGGCCTTAAAATCTTTTAAATCTATGCATGATGGGATTAAGCTACCAAACAACAAGCAGACTGGTAATCGGGGGAAAGAACTACAGCATAAGCAGTGACATCTGTTAGATTGTGGAAGAGCTTCTCAAGAGAAACACTGGACATGCCATTACTTGAGAGCTCCCTGGATCCCTGCTGCTGGCAATACGAAAATGTTCATGGTGCCAGTCACAAATTGTTCATGTTTAAGCCTGTTTTTAGGAGCACTGGTGCAGATATGCCATGTTTGCTTCCTCCATCAAGATGCTTTGCAGAAAGCAGAGTCCATAGGAGCGAGCCCAGGGAGAGAAAGTACACTCACCTAGTATTTGCACTTCATGAGTAATTCCATAGACATCTATCAGTGCCCAGAGAGGCCCAGGGACCTTAACGCCGCAGTGAAACAATACTGGCTCCTCATCGTTAATACTATAGAAGACTCTCCCATGGCGGTCGACCCAGAAAGCCAGAATATTGTCCCTCAGCGCGAACCTCTCTGGCAAAGCTTTAGCCCAGTAGCCAGGACGAGTCACCAAGTCAGGGCAGGCATACTTTGGTATGTCATCAGAGCTCATGTGCGATGGGTCATGGGTGGTGAAACCAAAGCGCAGTGCTCCGCTCCACCCATGGTGCACGGACACCAACTTGAGCCGCACCTTCTCATAAAGGTGGATGGGTCGGTGGGTGAAAGTGACGCCGTTGCAGAAGCTGTTCCTCCGGGTGGCCTTGCGGGAGTGGGCATCCAGATGGACATTCTTGCCCTTGGCTTGGGAGTGGAAACGGGGGGGCTCTGCAATGGCAAGGACAGAGCGTCTCTCCTGGCTGCTGTTGGGCAACGGGTAGTGAGGTCTGCTGGACACCGAGCGGGTCTGGTGACTGGTGTCTGCAAAAGGAAACAACAACAGCACCGTTAGGCACATGCAGCCAGAGCAACCTGCCTTCCTTCAGTCTGCGAAATGAGGTGGGATTGGTCCGCCTTGGGCAAGGGACTGGACTGGACGACCTCCTGAGGTCTCTTCCAGCTCTAGGATTCTATGATTCTAGGTGAGCAGTTTCGCACTCGCACTCAAGTGGAGCTCTGCGTGTGGGAAGGGGCCTGCCGTTTCTGGGCTTAAAGTGGTGCACAGCCAGCTGCAACTGTCTACTCTCCACTGATTAGGTGTCCAACTTTCTGTAAACCTTACTTGTGGCAACCTGCCTTGAAGCATATTTGCTTTGTCCTCTTAAAAAGCTTAAAAAAATAACACTCCCCTATTCTTACTAGACGTGTCCTAGTTCATCAAGAAAACAGCAGTACCTCTGGCTGAGTTTCTAACACAGCACCATTAACACATAGCCAGCTCCTCAACTGATCTGCACTGCCTCGAGGAATCATGGGTGTGAGGCACAGAGCTGCTGGAGCAGGTGCACAAAATATTGATTTCCATGCGACATGCACACAATTTCTTAGCAGTGGAGTTGTACTTTTGAAAAAATAAACCAAGGTATTTAGGGATGTTAAAATGCATTTATTTTGGAAAACATAACAGCTGAAAATTTCAGCTGGGGGGGTGGACGAAGGGGGGAGGCAGCTCCTGCCTGCCCCCCCTCTGTGCTGCTGCCTCTGATGCAGAGGTGGGAGGAGGGCAAGTGGCTCCATGGGAGCCGGTGCTCACAGGGAGCCAGCTTAAAAGCCAGCTCCCCGTGAGCAAAGGCTTCCACCGGCCCGCCCCCATCCACATTGCTGCCTCTGATACAGAGGCAGCAGTAGTGGGGTGGAGGAAGAAGTGGGGTGCTGCGTGTAACTGAAGGTTAACCGATGAGCTCAGGCTCATTGGTTAACGGTTGACACGTGTACACTATCACATCCCTATTTAGAATCCAGTGTACCGTGTCTACATCAGCACAGCATTTCTCCATAATGCTAAAAGCTCTGCTTGAAACTTTATATAGCCTCAGATATCATATGTGACTGGCACATAAAGGAGCCAATTTGTCTTTCACAGAATAAGAAAATAAGTACAGGCAGTCCCCGGGTTACATGGATCCGACTTACCCCGTTTGTAAGTAGGGATCCGATGTGAGGCAACCCCGCACTAGCTGCTTCCCCCCAGCAGACCAGGGAGACGCGAAGTTAGTGTCCCTCCCCACGCCAGCAGACCAGGGAGCCGCGGAGCGGCTTTTCTCAGCAGACACCTCAGCTTGAGAATAAAGGACTGAGGGAAGTGAGGTGTGGGAGAATAAAACTGAGCTCTGGAGAAATGTTTGGCCAGAGTTTCCCCTACAATATGTACCAGTTCCGACTTACATACAAATTCAACTTAAGAACAAACCTACAGTCCCTATCTTGTACGTAACCCGGGGACTGCCTGTACAAGATATTGCATTTATGCCTCATCTCCCCCATTTGAAGATCTCCAAGTGCTTTACAAGCCACCCAGAACCCCAGGTAATAAAGTATCATCCACCACATTTTACAAATAGAGGTCCAGAGTTTATGGGCTTGATACTGTGTCATTTAAGTCCATGGGAACTTTGACATTGATTTCAATGAAAGCCTGCACAGGCCCTAAAAGAAGATTACACAGAGTCTGGGACTGAAATGGGAATAGAACACAAAGTTTGCTTCCAGTCTTGAGCCTTAACTACAAGTTTTTTGCAGCAGAGACACAGCACCTGGTCCATGATGGGGGCTACTAGGTGTTACCCCAAAGCTAATAAAGAAGATGAACTAAAGAAGAAGAACAGAAATGCAAACAACTGGAACATTTGTTCTTCCCATCTCCCACCTCCTTTTCTTGTAAACATAACGAATATGCAATACATCTTTTTAAATATAGAAAATCGAACCAAAAAAAGGAAATGGAAGGGAAAATTTGGTGCCAGCTATCTTAAATATAAAAACCTCCAAGCACGTTAATTTTGGAATTATTATGCCAGATATGACATTTAAAAAATAATTGGGCTTTCCCTCAAGCTGTTTCCTCCCAGTCTAAGCTATGGTTTCTCCACACATCAGGAAGAGTGTCATGGGGACACACTTGCTAACGGCTTCCTTTGTTTTCAAGAGAACATCAGATGATGCTAAAAACTCAATTTGGAAGAGCTGGCAGGAGATCTGCAATCATGACAACTTTTTGCAAGCAAAAATATAATGGGCATTCACATGACAGCCTGGGACTTCCATTCCCTTTTTGAACAAACGTGCTCTACACAACAACAGCATGACAGTCCAGGGAAGCAGTGGGCTCAGATGGCAGAAAAAGGGCAAGAGCAAATATCAGAAAAAGAGGATTACAGCTCAAAGTGGATAATCTGCAGCAGGATCAATTCTGCTCTTGGGGCACAAAGATGCCACTTCCATGAAAAGTGTCCTAAATATTAAGATCAGAGGCCAAAAACCAACAGATAACTGAATGGCCGCTAGCTATTATGTTTCCTTCAGTGAAGTCAGAAGCTGCACTACATAGACAATGCGCCACGCGGAATTTTGTGTAAGGACAGTGGCTCAGTCTCCTGAGTATTTTAACATAAACTCACCAATTAAGAATTTTGTTTCATTCCTCCTTAAAAGCCCAGATACAGAAGACAGCTGCTTCTGGAAATGACCCAACTGTTGTAACCTGGGTGGTGCTCAATGCACGCAGTGCCAAATGTTCTGAACAAACTCTTTGCTTCAAAGAGAATGTGATTTTGGTTCTTTCAGCAAGTGAGGGACATAGATTCGAACACGCACAGGCCAGCATCTAGCATGTAAAAATGTAGCTACCAACAATGGTCAGGTGCTGGTAATATCCATTCCTTACTAAGAAGCTGGAACTGGATATTTGGCATCTTCAAAATGTATCTTTGAATAACAGTTCAATCGAAAAATGTTAAATATAGTCAATCATCTATAGTTTCCAAATGACTGAAAATAAAATCTAGGGGAAACACAGTGTACTGCCCTCAATTCAGGTTTACTTTGGTAGGCAATGGGAAGCAGAGCTTTTGTTCGCCCATTTTTTTCTAGACTCACAAAAACTCATAGAGCAATCCTGCAGCACCTTAGAGTAACAAAAATATATAAATGGCATAATGAGCTTATCATGAGCAGAGAAAGTAGGTTTTGCCCATGAAAGCTCATGATACCACACACACACACATTATATATATATATATATATATATATAAATTATTTATATATATATATATATATGTTACTCTCTAAGGTGCTGCAGGATTACTCATTTTTAAAGTTACAGACTAACACAACTACCCCTCAGACTTTTAAAAACCCATAGTTGGTTTTTCTAGTGCACCGAAATTGTGAACAAAGGAAACACTAATAGAAACTGAGACCCAAAAGAGCATTTTTATGTGAGTTCCCTGACAGTATTTGTCCATACAAAAGCAGCAACAGAATGAAAGGGGAGTGATAGTTCTGTCAGTGCAAAGGCTGGGAAAGCAATTACAACTCCACCTATTTCAAATGCTTCACTCATTCCAGCCTGCCATAGGCTATGGCTATTTTTTTTAAGTTGTTTTTTTAAAGACAGGAAAGCACATTGTGACCACACAATAGGAAACTTTCCAGAAGGAAATGGATGGATAATTTATTTATAATGCCATTTTCTCCAAACATGAACACCTGTCAGTTACCATTTTGAATAAAACACCATTTACCCTGAGACTGAGCCAGAAGAGGCATTGCTCACACTGTAAAAGTCTGGTTGTAGAGCTCGGTTGTGGTTTTGTTTTTTGCAGGTAGTCAACTAGTGGGATGGTGAGATGGTGGGCAACTAATCACTGTTTGCAATTATGTTATTGTCCTGGGCAGCATCCTCATTGCAGCTTTCACCTTTTCATTCTACAATAAAAGCCTTAGAGTAAATAATAAAGCTTGAACCAGTGCTTACAGCACTAGGCTAGGCCCAGGAAGAAGGAAGTTCAGTTCCTGAACTACCAGAAAGCTCTCATGTGACCTTGGTCAAGTTGCTTTGTGTCTCTGGGCCTCAGTTCCTCACCTGCAATGTGGGAATAAGAGCATCGCCCCATTTACTGTAAGAATGAATAAAGACTATGAGAGAATGAGGTGCCATATACAAAATAGATTAAATTAAATGTAAGCAAGACACCCACAATCCCAATCTGCCCCCTCTTTCCATTGTAAAGCTTGCCATTTTCTGCCTTTCTTCTCAATGGCACTAATCAACATCACGATGCTTACATCATATCTCTTGAACATGGAAGGATTGACAATATTACAGAGGGCTTCAGGAAACATGGAAATAAACTAAAAGCAAATCAAAGTGAGCTGAAATGAAGAGGAAATAATTTGTAAGTAGACACTTCTCACTGAAAATACACAGCAAGAAATGGCATCTGACTTTACATCAGTATGTCCCTGAACCTGTTCTGCAGAGCTACATAAACTGGGCTAAAGCAAAATTAAACTTCTCTCACAGCCAAGTCAATATGTACTCATACCATATCTAAAACCTCAGCCTATTGTCAAAAGCCTAGTAAATTTCTTAAGTTACATTGACCTTTAGGGAGGTATTATACAATCAAGACATGTTTTGAACTACAAACACACACTGCGGATAGACATGGAGCAATTTCCGTGTATTTCTCATGGCTTTAATCTGAAAAATAAAACCTTTCTAGCTCATTTATGCAGAACACTGGGGATTTCTAGAACGCCACAGCCACACCTTCCCCACGACTCATATTGTTGCACTGTTTATCACAATCTGCCACTGTTCCTTATGCAAGCCAAAGGTGGGGACTGACCTGATGAACTGTAGCTGTGCAGAAGCCCTGAGGCCTGATTCTCCCTTCTCTCAGGCAGATGTACAGCATCTGAAGTAATTCCACTGAAATCGCTAAAGTTAGGGAGAAGCTGGTCCTAGAGATGAAACT